AAAAATAATGAAATAGGAAAAGAATAAAAACGATTACATGATGGAGTTACTGTATATCCATAATATATTTTATATATTTTCATAATATAATTTCATAATATATTTTGGCAATAGTGTCAAATGTAGCTTTTAGAAAACAAATTATTGAAAATAACAAGTTTCACATAAACTAAATAGCAGAAACAAATTTAAAAAATTAAAAATAAAATATTAACTTTAGTTCAATGTCTTTACCCTTGACATTTAATAGAATTTTAAGGTGATATTTAGATAAAAATCTTTTTCAATAATTATTAAAAACCTAGCTATAAAATCAATAAGAAAAATTATAGCATACTTTTAAAATTATTGAAAAAATTAAATTTTTAAATAGGAAATTTATATAATAGAAAAAGATGACAGAAAAAAGTGAAAATAAAGAAATGTAAAAAAGAAGCATAAAATTGTTTAAAATAATGAGAGTTTCAGAATTTTGATCTTCGAGGGAAAAATTAATAATGCATCAATAAACTTTCAATTTTTTATATTATTAACTTAATTTCAATACATTAATAAATATTATTAAAAATTGCAGATTTTTTAATAAAGTCCGACGTAAAAAATGCAAAAACACAGCAATTTTTAAAACGTTAATTTAAATGATTAAAAAATAAGCATTAGTCAAATATCGAAAAAATACAAATCTTCAAAATACTTCATTAAACAATACGATTTATTGTTTTTCTTTCTTTTATCAAGTGCCTTGTATGTATAACTCTACTGATAAATATTACTTGGACAATTTTTTTTTCTTCTTTTTTTTGTTAAAAGTAGGTGGCACATCAAACTTTTCGGGATATTTGATCATTGTTGCTAATATACGTGATGTCGGGTTATCTGTTTTTGACGGTAAAAGTACAAGTGCATTTGAACCTATAATATTATACAACTTATCAGTGAAGACATTACCCATATTGAAAGTGTTTACATTGTATTCTCCATCCTTCCAATGTAAACGTGTCAATGCGAATCTAGGTCGACTATGCAACATAAATAGGGTACGCAACTAAAATGTTAGAATAATATTACAATATTGCAAGTTTATAATTTTGTAATACGTAAAGACAATCTTACTTGTGTTAGTGGTACTGTGAGATAAGGTATGGTAAAATTGTAACTCAGCCAGCTCACAAAAGGTATAAGGAACACATTAGCTGTAATATAAGCGGATATTGGATTTCCCGACAAACACAAGAAATATTTCATCCTATTATTGATTTTACAAGTAGCTAAAGTCGTTGATTTTCCTGGTTTTATATTTACATTACCTAAAACAATGCATATAGTTATATAGGAGACATACCTACTTCTTTTTTCACATATAGATAATTAATATACAAAATCAAGAATACCGAAATGTATTGTGGCTTTAAATGTCATTAAAACTTGCTTCAATACATCTTTGTCATTAATAGAACCCGTTGTCACAAGTAGATCTACTTTCTCCAGAGCCTTTTCAATTTTGTTCCGTATAGCTGACAATCTTCAAAATAATTAATTATTAAGTATTAATTATTTAATTCATTACAAAGTTGCAAAAATATATTATATTTTTGAAAGTGAAAAATGTTATAGTAACAGTTGCGTATTTAAAGCGTATGTGAGTGTGAACATAAATTTCAAACACTTACTTATTTTTCACGATTCCGAAATCCAAGGGAAAGAAATTATCACATTGTAGTAGAGAGATTAAAGTTAGTCTGTTAGTGTCGTAGACATATCCCGGTTTCAAAGGTTCTCCCGATTCCTCCAAATTATCCCCAATAGACAATACACCCAAAGATAACTTGGAAGAGACTGTAACTTCTTTGCGGCCCGAAGCTGCTATAAGTGCCATCTCCCCCGGGCCAATGCGCGTGGGTGCAAATACAACCGTTGCTCCTTTCATTAATTCGCTTCCAATAAATCTTTAAAATAGATATTCAAGAAAATAAATTTTATCGCACGAAAGCTGTATCCTAGTTGTTTAAAAATAAAAATATTAAATTTCGTACTTAATGTTTTGTCCGTTTAGTGGTTCAGTTAATATTTCAATATATTTAACTTCCTCGTTTGACATTTCTTCTACTGGCTTTGTATCCTTTACTGCTACAACTGCTGTTGCTTCTGCAATCAAATGGAAATGACAATTCTGATTCTTTATTGTAAAGAGATCAATGCGATATACGGTTGTTTACCATTGGGAATAGGCGCTCCACTGTTCACCCATACGCATGTCCCAGATGTAAGAGAAACTGGATGTAACTGAAAAAGTTTTCCCTCACAATTTTATCTTATTGGATATATATATATATATATATATATGTATATGCATTTTTAATACAACTTACTGTATTTTTTACGTTCAACACCTTTTTGAAACCTTTTCCTGAAGCTGCCAATACGGCATATCCATGTTTAGTGGAAATTCTAAATGATGGTATGTCATACTCCGATTTTACATTTTCGCATAATATTCTGCCAGAAGCATTATTTATCTTTATTTGCTCAAAATATTGTTCATTTAAACGTTCCTGTGATAGTTTGTTCAATGTTGTCAATGCTTCATGTAAAGAAACCATAGGAAATCGCTCGTAATTGTTCCTATTGCTTCTTGTACACTGTAAAAATTAATTTAATCACATATTTATTATTATAAATTATCACTATTTATTATGTAAAACATATCTTACCTCATCTGTAGATGATAAATCGTGCGAGGAAAATGTCGTCTCCAATTTCATTACCTCACTATCAGTTTCATTCTTACTTTCTTCCTATATAAGCGAATAGTACGTAGAATTTTATAAATTTATAATTTTATAAATTTTTTATTTCAAGATAGACGATACTTTACCTTTTCTAAAGAAATATTATGTAGAGAGGATGCAATGTCAATTAGCGAGTCATATGTATTGTTTTCATTACGTATCACAAATATTGTAAATCCTACTGAATGTGCAATTGCGTTCAAGCATTCCTTTTTATTTTTGTGTGGACCAGACAAATTAATGATCAATTTCTCGTTTCGTATTCCACATTTAGCGCTAAGAAGAAATTATAAAAATTGTAAAAATTATTGCTTTAAAGATTTAATGATATAACTAAAAAATAAAAGTTTACTCAGATTGCAAGACATTCTTCAATATTGTTTCTATTTGTCTTATGAAAAATGCTATATTACTACGTGGTCTGTGATCCATAATCGCACTAATTGCTTCATTTGCACTATCCTTTTTAGAAGCTTCAACGTTACCAATAATAAAAATAAGATCAATTTCTTCGCAATCGCATATCGCAAGCAATTTATTCTGTATTGTATTAACAATAAAATATATTATATTAAAATGAAATATTAATAATTTAAAGAAAATATTTGAAACATTTATAATTACCGTTAATACAGTTTTAACTGGGTTTGTAACAGACAAATTACTTATCTTGATATCATTTATTTGTTTTAAGGCCTCGAAGAAATTTTCATTTTCATTTTCTGGTATGTACACACTTTCATCTGTTATATTAGATGTATGTACTAACAAAAAGTGAACACAATAGAATTATTTAGCTTATACAAGTTTATAAAATAATAATGTCATCATATTTAAACGTGTTTTAAACGTATTTTGTTACATTTTAATTCAACAAATAGTTTACAAATAGCTGTTAAATGATAAGACTGAAGATGAAATAAATAAAAATTATCTTTAATTTTATATTTAAGGTTTATTTTACAGATATTAGCTTCTTTATCTAATTTTTATATATATAGGTAGATTGTTTTTATAACATACATTTATTAAAACATTTCTGATTGCATTCTTGTATTCTAAAAAAGATTTTGCTAAACTACAAATATGATACTTATTTATAAGTATAATATAACGCAGAAATATACATATATTTTGATACTTACAAATTACAATTTGAATTCTTATTGTCATTTTAGCTTTCGGATCACGTTGCTAAATCTACCAACAGTCACCAAAGTATTTTTATTGTTTCGTTCGAATATTTGATTCGATCTGCCACGTTCAGCAGATGGACGAACTTTGTCTAGTGTCGTAATAACATGACATTTTGTCATGAGGCTATTTACATTTTTCTTAATATTTCGACAATCGATTTTCTTAATAAATCGACAATGTCAGTTATATTTAAAATGTACTAAACAAACCAATGCGACGCGCGCGCTACATATTTTTTAAACAGAAGGAGCAGAAATTAATATGATATACTATTAACCTTTTGATACACTCAACAAACACAATGTCAAAACGATCTTCACGATGACAACTGTTCCATCAAGTTAACGCAGCAAAAGAACCAATCGGCATCGTGGAAAAGGCGGCAATAATAAACTTCGAAAGTAATCGATCTTACATCTTCTACTTTTTTGGGATAAGAGGGATAAAAAATGCATGTATATCTCGCACCGGAAGGGAAACTTCCGGGTCTCGATTCTCAAAAAAACGAACTTTCTTTATCTTTAGACACGTGAAAAATTGTTTCGATATCATGACTCTTTGGCACTGTGAAAATCGCAAATTTTTTACCTAGATAGATTTTTTTTAGACGACACAACCAATAAAGTAATGTTCCATAGTCATAATTAAATTTACAACTATATCATATTATTATTATTTATTTAATATGTAGTTAATAATATTAATAATGTTCTTATCATCTTATCAAATTATAAGATATCTAATGATATTTTATGTAGACACTGTTTAAATGATAAAAAGTTTATTTTTAATAAAAATAATTTTAATGATACAAGATTATTTGTGAAAAAAAGAACAATATTTTACATATATTATATTTGTGCAAATTACGAATACAATAATTTAATGGCATTTACATTAAAAAATAATTACTATCCAATTTTAAATTTATAAAAACATTTAACATTAAAAATAGCACATTTTAATATTAATGTGCTGTAAAACTAAAATGCTATTTTAACTGAAATATTGTTACAGCACGCATTATAAACCTAAAATTATGTTAAGAGCTATAAAGTTAGGATTAATGAATGCGATAGTCATACAATATTTTTGAAATTTAGGATTTTTCTTTAATAAAAATATTATTGAAAATCGTTTAAAATAAAAGGATTTATACGATTTCAATCTCCGAAAGAAAAATAGCTGATTAGTTATTTATAAGATAGAGAGAATTTTAAATACCATTAATTTAATGGTATTTAATAAAATTTTTCAAAAATTTTGAAATGAAGTTATAAAATTAAATTGTATAGTAGACATTTGAAAAAATTGATAGCTCATTAATTTAGCTAAGAAAGCTTATTCAATCTGTTCATATATTTTAACAATAATGTATCAAAATTTTTTTATTTGTGGGATATACGCATACGAATTTCCGGTATAAATATTATGAAAAAGTTATATTGGAAAAGTTATACTGGATAAGTTCCCAAAAGTCCTTGTGGGATTGTTAATCATTAAAATTGGTAAAGTCTGTTTGGTCAGTACGTGTTGCTCCTCTGTCTTTTCCGGCAATAATACAAGTGCGTTTGAGCCTACGATATTATTCAGCTTATCAGCGATAAGGTTACCTGAACTGATAGAGTGTGCGACAGTTCCTGTATTCGACCATTTTAAAGATACCCATGAGAGTCTAGGCCGAGAATGCAACATGTACGGAACATCTACCTGCAATGTTACCAGCAACATTATATAATTTTGTAAACATGTTTTACAATACGAGATACAATCTTACCTGAGCTGGTATTATTGCGGCATCTATTGTCAAGGAACACAGCCTATTCAGAAATGGTAGGAGGAACATATGCGCGGCGATGAAAGCAGACGTCGGGTTTCCCGGCAAACAGAAGAAATACTGCGTCTTGCCATTGATCTTGCAAGTTGCTAATGTTGTCGATTTGCCAGGTTTCATATTTACATTACCTAAAATATAATGCGTATAGTCGTATAGAAAATATATATTTTTTTCTTTTGACACACATGGGAGATTAATATAAAGAAGAATAAAAAATACCGAAATGTATCGTGGCATTAAAATCTTTTATCAAAATTTTCTTTAATAAATCTTTATCGCTAGCAGAACCTATTGTCACAATAACCTCAACTGTTTTTAAGGCTTTTTCAATTTTATTTCTTATAGATAAAAATCTGCAAAAATAGTAATTATTACGTACGAAATAGTTAATCAATTATATTAATTGAATTATTTAGTTACGCAATAAAATAATAGAAGTATTAATCATTAATCATTGTATAATAAAAGCAAAATATTGTAAATATAATAGTAGTATTAATTATTAATCATTGTATAATAAAAGCAAAATATTGTAAATATAATAGTAGTTGGTGTTATTTAAAATAATAATAAATTTTAATTGCTCTTACTTGTTATCCACAATTCCAAAATCTATAGGACGTAAATAATTACGTTTTAGTAGAGAAATTAAAGTTATTCTGTTAATATCGTAGACATATCCTGGTTTTAAAGGATTTCCTGGTTCTTCTAAATTATTTCCGATAGACAATATACCTATAGACAAACGTGAAGAAACTACAACACTTCTGCGACCTATAGATGTCAGAATCCCTATCTCCTCTGGGCCAATAAGAGTATATTTATTTATAACAGTATTTCCTCTCCTTATGTCGTAACCAATTGGTCTTTAATGAAAATAAACAGGAAATAAATTAGTTATTTTAATAAATAAAAAGAACATACAGCGCTTATTAAAGATATAAAGTTTTCTACTTAATGTTTTGTCCGTGTTGTGGCTTAATTTTTATCTCAATATACGTATTTTCCTTGTCTCCCAATTTTTCTACTGGGTTTGTATACTGTTCTGGTATAATCGCTGTTGCTTCTGCAATAGAATAGAAACAAAAGTTTTTTATACTATATGTGGAGAACAAAGTGATGGATATTTAATTATTTACTATTGGGAATAGGTGCTCCACTGTTGACCCAAATGCAGGTTCCAGGTTCAAGCGAAATTACGGAAAGCTGAAAGAAGAGATTTAATTTAACGCCCATACACTTTTATTTGTTGCATATATTCTTGTATAAATATGATCTGATCTAACTTACCGTATCTTTTACATCATTCAACACCTTTCTTAAACCTTCCCCTTCAGCTGCTATCACCGCGTATCCGTGTTTGGTAGAAGTTCTACATGATGGTACATTGAGATTTGAGTCTATGTCTTCGAACAATATTCTGCCACAAGCATTAGTTACTTTTATTATTTCAGGTTCTCTTTCTTTGGAACCTTTTTTTGTTATCTCTTGCAATAGCGACATTGCGATATGTAAAGAAATTATAGGAAACACCATATTATCATTGTTTGAATTATCGTCGTCCTGTAAAGATATTTAATCTCATATATAATATCGTAAATTATTTATTATATAAAATGTATCTTACTTCTTCAAATAATTCTTCTTCAGACGTCGAGGAGGATCCCTCAAGTTCCTTTGGTTTTGTATTTTCCTTTTTATATTTTTTTGTATATGCAAACAGATTTAGTAATCAATCAAATTTAATAGACAATCATAATATAAATTTATTACATATTTTGGATTTTAACATAAACTTTACTTTCTCTCACCTTATTTTCTGATGAAGTGTCATTTTTCCGAACGATTGAATTCTTCATATCATGTATCGAAAGCATTAAAATTATTAGATTTTCTAAAATTGCTTTTAAACATTGTTTTTTATTTCTATGTGGGCCAGACAAATTAATGATCAGCGTCTCATTTCGCATTCCACATTTAGCTCTAAAAATCAATTGTAGGAATTCTTATTTTAAAATCTATAATAAAAATGAAAACACTTACTCATAACCTGAGACATCCTCTAATATTTTTGATATCTTTTTTATGCCATTAACCACATTTCCAGAAAGATTTTTGCAATCGGTCACAACTTCAACCACTTCATTAACAAGATCTCGATCAGTAAATTCAATATCACCAATAATAAGAATAAGATCAATTTTATAATTTAAGCATATTTTAATTATTTTTTGCTACAATATATTAAGCATATAATAATGTAAAATTGGAAATCTTTAAAGAAAGTATTTAAAACATTTATAATTACCATTAAAGGGACTGAAACTGGAGTTGCAAATGTTACATTATATATTTGTATATTATTTAAATTTGTTAACACTTTAAAAATTTCTTCATTGTTATCTGGTTCAGTTAGCAATGTTTCTAAAGCGCCTTTATTTTCTTTTGCATCTTTATACACTAAGTAAACGCAAAGTAAAATTATTAGATTTTTGAAATTAATAATGTTATTAACGTTATTTACGTTTAAATATATTTTTTATCGTAATTAATTTGATATTTACAGTAAATAATACACACACACACACACACACACACACACACACACACACCATATGACGAAATATAATTATAATACTTACTAATTATAATTT